ATGGGGAAAAGAACACCCGACAGGCTGATCAGGGAACCCGACGCGAAGCGGAGGGATCTTCATGAGCATGAAGGGTAAACACCAGGCTTACTAATCTTCCCGCACAATTTTACTCTGGTGTCGGAATGTCTCGCGATGTAGGTAAATTCTTAAAAAACAAAACACCATTTAATTTCGGGTTAAAATGTGTTGTAACTGCGTTACTGAGAATTATAACGGGTATTATATTACCCACATTAGTAATGCGTTACAGTACTTTGTTACAGCAAAAAGTAATACATTACTGTAACTCGTTACACCCAACACTGATCAAGAGACCTACATTTTGCTCGTCAAACATACATCATACATTTGAGTTGAAAGACTGTTGTATATTCACTTTCCTTATTCTTTCTTTTTATTCTGCTTATTACATCTAAAAACAATGTTTACAAGAAAGGAACAATTCACTCATTGTAATGATGAACAACAACTCTTACAAAGTCCTGTTACTTACTACTATTTATGGCAGTCTAAATCTGGATAAAAACGTTTAGTAACAATTTTTCTTAAGTAATGCAACAAAAATTTGAGCCATCATTATAGCAGATTGAGAATCAATTCAACCGACATGAAACCCAAAGCCAAAATTCATAAAAACATCTGAAGTCTTTGGCGAACTGAAAAGTAAAAAATATCCCATCAGATAAAAGCATCACCCTAAAGCTCTTTTGTCTTCCTCTCTCTTCTCTCTGCCGCTGCTATCACAGGAGGCCAAGTCCCAACTGTATACCCAAATACAAATACACTCACATACGGCCCCGTGTGTCATAGAATGTGATGGATTACAACAATCAAACAATATTTCATGAGTCCCAGCTGGCTGCGAAGAGCCAGAGCCATTTAAATTTGTAGGAGAGAACAGATCTCTTTGTCTATTTTTGTCCCAACTGTCTCCCCCTTTCCTATCAGATGAGTCACACTCTGTTCCCGGCCTACTGTGACACACACACATCCACAAACACACACCATAGTCTGTAGATTAAGGCGATGTGTTATACATTCATAGCCTCTTTTTGATTAAGATTGTACAAAGTAAATATAATCCGAAACCACCTGCTGTGACTTCAGACAATTATTCATAGTCTCAAAGTCAAGTAAACTTTAGGAAGGAAGCCCCTAACACATCTTCAGACACTAAAAGTGTTCTGCACATAAACCTTACACTTCTATACAAATTGTTATTTTTCTATTCTCTTATTTATCTTTATATTAATATTGTACAATTCTGCAAATCGTCTTTTCCATTAACAATTCTTTGTATTTCTCAAAATAATAAGTATTGTTTAGTTTGCCTAGAAGAATAAAGACTTATTAGCTGTGTTCAAATCTTTTAAGAAACAAAAGAATGGTGTAATCTCTAATAGTATAGTCGTACCAGTTGGACGCGATGCAGACTTTTGAAATCTGGCTTTTCTCAACTTCTTCCTGTTAACATCTAGCCATTGTTGGGCAGCCTCGTAGAATTGGCTAGTCCTGCAATGTTAGCCAATGCTAGCTGCACAGGTCCTTCCAGCTATGATGGTGACTTGACAAAAAGTTGCGGTCAATATCAAGATCACAACGCAAGGAAGACCTCAGTTTATTTGGATCTTTGTTTGAAGGCAAAAGGACTTAATGTAAAGGCAGTGATGAAATTGCAGACCAATATCAATAAAGACAGGGATTGAGTTAGCAGACCAATAACAAATATGCAGATGCTAATTGCCCCCTGGTGTAGGTAGCTTACGATGCTATTTGCACCTGGGTTGCTATAGCCAGTGTGGCTATTTACACCCAGTTGTATAAAGCATGACAGAACAACTGCAACACCACATGACATTTCATGAGCTCTACGAACCCCTCCAGTCTGGCTTCAGACCCCATCACAATACTGAGACTGCCCTCATTAAAATCACTAATGACCTCCTCATCGCATCTGATTCTGGCCTCATCAGTATTCTCATCCTCCTGGACCTCTCCGCTGCCTTTGACACAATATCCCATAGCATCCTCCTCAGCCGCCTGTCAGACTACCTTGGCCTCAGTCACACAGCTCTTGCCTGGTTCGAGTCCTACCTCTCTAACAGGACTCACTTCGTTACCATCAGTGACTGCAGCTCCCCTCCGGCCCCAGTTAACCAAGGTGTACCTCAAGGCTCTGTGCTTGGACCCCTCTTATTCACCATCTATATGCTCCCTCTTGGTCAAATCATCCGCCAACATGGTCTCAGCTTTCACTCGTATGCCGATGACACACAGCTCTATCTCTGCACCAAACCGTCCACTCAGTTTCCCCCTCAATCCCTTGTCAACTGCCTCCAGGACATCAAAAACTGGATGTCATCAAACCGGCTAAAAATAAACAGCAACAAAACTGAGCTCATCATTGTGGCTCCCAAGGCGCAGCTCCAGAAGGTTGGTGACCTGCTTCTCACCATTGACGGCTGCTCCATCTCCCCGTCCACTGAAGTCCGCAACCTGGGAGTCATCCTGGACTCCACCCTCTCTTTCCAGGCGCATATCAAATCCATGACCAAATCCGCCTTCTACCATCTCAAAAACATTGCCAGACTCCGCCCCTCACTCTCTGACTCTGTGGCAGAAACACTCATACACGCCTTCATCACATCCCGTCTGGACTACTGCAATGGAGTCCTGTCCGGGGTTCCCAGCAAAACCCTGGCCAGGCTCCAATATGTCCAGAACTCTGCCGCCAGGCTTCTCACCCGCACTAAGCCATGGCAACATATCACCCCCACCCTCATCCACCTCCAGTGGCTGCCGGTCAAGTCCCGGATTCACTATAAAACACTCCTCCTCACGTACAAGTCCCTCCATACCCTCGCCCCCCAGTACCTAACAGACCTCCTACATCCCTACACCCCCCTCTCGGAGTCTGTGGTCCTCAGACACGGGCCAGACACGGGCCTGCTCTCCATCCCCCGCTCTCGCCTCCGAACTGTTGGTGACAGGGCGTTCAGTTTTGCGGCCCCCACCATCTGGAATGCACTTCCTCCCGAGATCCGGAACGCTGCCTCACTGGACATCTTCAAATCCTCACTAAAAACGCACCTGTTCACCCTGGCCTTCGGACCCTAGTCCTTTCCTGGTCCCCTGGCTTCCTTTACTTTATTTTTTTTTTTTTTCTTGTTTTGTTCGCTCCTCATTGTCTGTTTTGTTTTGTCTGTCCACCATGTACAGCGACCTTGGGTCCCATGAAAGGCGCTTTATAAATTCCATTTATTATTATTATTATTATTAACATGCAACCTGAGGCCTGTACTACGAAGCTGGATTTTCGCTTAGCCGGCTAAATTCAGGGAAATTTCGGGCTTTCCGGTCCTACGACGCTGGTTCTCTTTTTAGCAGGCTAGATTTCCATGGTAACTTATGCTGAGCGGCAAACCTGCTCCGGAGCAGGTTAGGTGGCAGGCTAAGAGATCAACTCAGTGAAAGCACTGCCTGCTGACCAATCAGAGCTCCGTGTGCGGAGTTTAAAGCGATCAATTCATATGACAGGAGGAGAAAGGAAATACAGTTTAAACTGCCGTTGCAGGAAAGACGACCGGCCAAAATCAACTGACTGTGTGAACGTGAAAATTAATAGAATATCCCCTCCCATCTTCAGAGCAATCTGACTATTATAACATTAGCGTTAAGAAAGCTTACTTAAATATCTGCCACGACATAAGTAACCGGATCAGAGTAACATTAAGTACAGTCCGCGGCACTGTGAGTGCAGACGTCGATGTGTCCCATTATCATTCATATCATATCACATCATAATGTATCATATATTTCCTTATCTGAGTCAGCTTCTTGAGCCGTATCTGGCCGTGCAACACTCACAGTGTCACATACTGTATGCAGAAGTATTATTTTAAGCAACACATTAAATTGACGAAACACTCGAGTCAAATGTAATTAAAGTCAGATCCACTCGTGTCTTGGACGGGGCAGTGATTTCATAAACCTGTTAATGTACGCATTCAAACACTTTTTCTTTTACCAGCTGTATTCACCTTGCAGGTGCAGCTATGTGGCTTTTATCCTGGGTAAAGTGTTTAAGTCATGGATGTTTAAAGTTTAACTTCCTCATATTTGACTAATATTAAAGTTCACTTTTCATTCAGGAAGTATGACGCTGCGCTGTCAGTACGCTTCTCCGTGTTTGAGATTGGTCGAATGCTCCAAATACCACCCCTTTCATGTGAACGCGCACCTAACTAGATAGGACACGGCGGCTTGAGCGATCCACTTGATATCCAGCGTCGTAGTACAGCTTAGCGCCAGCGCGTATGTTTTGGATTACGCCAACCGGCTAACTCCAACATATCCAGGTTAAGTTGAACCAGCTTCGTAGTACAGGCCTCAGGTGTCCATAGCCAGAAATGCCAGGCACACATCAGATTATGTTTTGAATGTATGGGTTTTAATGGAAATTCCTTATTATATGATGACTTTAGTCCCTTGTCGAGCTGCTTCAATTCCCCTATAGTAGATGAATAAAGGCACATCTTACAGTATCTTCAGCACTGTTGTTAATTAAACTGAACATTAAGACACAAATACCATCTGTGCTGTGCAGGTGTCAGTAATGCAAAGATGTTTCACATACACGTATATTAGCTGTAACATTAATTGACTAATAATTACAATAAATCCTGTATACTTCCTACATAATAATTAAAAGAATACATTTAAAAGGCTTATCAGACCATATGTATATCTTCATTGCTCCATTTTATTTTGTTGTGCTTTTGTGAGGTGTTTAAATGCCCTTCAAGGCATAACAATTAAATTGCCCAAAACTGTTACAGATACATGAAGCCAAAGTTAGATTGCAGCTTCTCTGTTTTTCCATTTGCAGTTAGTTTTTCCGATGCCTATATGAATAAGTTGACAGACGTTACATTCCTTAGGGTGAGATTGTTCATTTGTTTTTTCTGTTTCCTTCTCTTCTCCCTGTATGTGTCTAGACAAGAGTGTGGTAACTCAGTCCATGCTGTCCACAGCCTCCTCTCTGAGAGACCACGCAGCTTTCTTCCAATCAGAAACCATGCGGCCGGCAAATGACCCTAAAGAGCGGGACCCCTCCCACGTACGGATGCTGAATGATGTACTCCGTGACCTGGAAAAGAGCTTCATTCTCCCACACACGCCGCCTGGAGTGTACAGGTAGGAGACTGTCTCAGAGGAACCCGGGAGTGTAAACACCATATATATATATATATAAAACCTCAAAACCTCAACAATTTGAACAGAGTTGAAATGTTTTGTGCAATCTAGCATTGTGTGCATTATGTTTTGGGTATTGTGAGTTCAATAGTTCCTTTCTGCATCCTTTTTTAAATGAGAACATTCTATTTTTCTTATTTTCTCTTCACAGTTGACATTAAAAGGTCTTAAAATCAGCAAGCAGGCAATCATCGTCTGCCTCCCTATATACTTGGTTCTGTTATTTGAACAATCTGAAACAGTTGATCTTTTGTATTTGTTTGCATACTCAAAATCCAGCATTACCTGACACTGGTACCCTGTAGATGTGTCTTAAAAACTAAAACTGTAATGTTAAATAGGTCAAATATCTCTTGAAAAACCTTTTGAAAGCTGCATTTTTGGTATTTTTCTTAGTGTGTTACTGCCACCATATGTTAATCAGTGGAATGACACAAATGGTTGTCAGGAATATGTGCTGCATGGCCATGCGATGGGATTATACATACAACATCTCTTTCTGATACCGTTGCTCTTTAGCACCCACAGGGGCCCTTTAAAATTAAAGATATATGAAACAATATTTTGAGTGCAGGGCATGTACCTGCATATTGCATATTACTTAACACTTACACATACGGTCATATTTGTTGTGATATTTGTCACCTTTGATACTGAATGATGATTGGCCGGTTAGCCCTTGGGGTCTTGTTGTCTAGATTCAGACTGCTTTGCTTTAGAAATATGTCAGACTTAATGCTAAAACATTGTCTTTTTATTTCTTCCATGGTGCTGCTCTGCAGTGACTTGGTTTGTGGTGGTACATTTTCACTTGACTTCTGAAAAGCAGACATTCATCAGGCAGAAACAAACTGAAATAGTGCAGTTCAGAGGGTTTGCTAAATCCAACTTTGAGCACTCATATGAGCAAACCTCAGTGTGAAGGGCAAGGGGTTGTCTATGTCATATGTCTGACTTACCAATGAAAAGGCAAATCAAACCATATACAGAAACTTTGTTTTTAGTGAAGTATAGCAGTCTGCTAAAGGTGTTAGTTAACATTGACAGAATATAGTGTTCTAATGATTGTCTTCCAGTAAAATGCTAAGAAGTATTTGTTTGAATAAGATGATGAATACAATTGTGAAATGTCTGTCAAGAAAAAAATCATAAAGAAATGTGTCATTATGAAATGATGCACATGACTTAATGTGGCAGTGGCGGCTGACCAATAGGGGGCGATAGGGCGCCGCCCTCCCTAAACCACACACACAAACTGATACTGATAATAATTAATTATACAAATTGTCAATATGTATGTGTTTAAAATATGGAATGCACCCAGAAATATGTGTAAAATATGATTTAAAAATATTTTGCTAAAGTTCACGAGGCGGGTCTCTGTAGCAGGTTAGCCAATTGCTGATTCAAGATATGAACGTGTCGTAAAATGTAGCCAATCAGCGTCCTCAAAACTACTTCCGGAGGGGCGATTATTTTATCGCCCCAAGTAAGCAACTGCTACGCTGCTGGACGACGGCCACAGGATTGCGGTGAGGAAACACAATGAGGAGGTGGATAAGAACAGGCATATTTTATCCAAAATAGTGACGTTTTGTGGGGCTTTTGAGTTGGCTTTGTGAGGGCATGATGAGACGGACTCTTCAGTCAACCATGGCATTTTCAGGGGACTGGTGGATTTTGTTTCCTCCCTGTACACTGTGCTGGAGGAGCACCTGAAGACCGCCACCGTTTTTAAAGGCTAGTCAAAGACGTACACCACATTGATTTTAAGAATAAGAATAATTATTATTAGTTTGTTACATCTTCAGCTTTTTGTATTACTGTTGATTATACCGTTGTATACATACATACATATACATTTCATTTAATTTCAAACCTTTATTTATCCAGGAGTATCCCATTGAGATCATTGATCTCTTTTTCAAGGGAGACCTGCTCAAGTAGGTTCCACATGAAACATAAACACATAAACAGAACAACAATATCATACATATATGATATATATATATATATATATGATATATATATATATTTCCATACATATATATATATTATAAACATCATATATATATATATATTTACATATATATATGTATGCACGTATTGCTAATGCCATTGTTTTTAAGTTTTTGTACATAGTCCTCAGTCTCAAATGCTTAAATTGTTTATGGAGGCATTACAATGTAAGACTGGTCAATTAAAGTTGAAAACTCCAGTTTTTTTTGCATTAAGTCCTACCGGGGTGTTTGCTGAAATTGATTGCATGTGGCAGAGCCCTACCTAGAAAAGATTCCACCAGCCGCAACTTTGATGTGGTTATGGTTGGTTTCAGATAATTCTTGCACCGTTTCTTTATAGTATTTTCTGTTGTGAGCTGAATTGAGCCTGATTTCCCCATACTGTTATCCAACAGTTTTCATTCTGAATTAAGGTGGTCATGTGGTCGAATAAAGGCACTTGTATATATCCCCTGCAGTTGTTTAAATGTAAAATAGACAGTTCAAAAGTACCTTTGTTGACTATCTAAAGTGCAAATGCCTTTTTAGTGAAAATGAGGAATACATTAAACCCAATGACTGCAAATATAGCAGAAACCTGGCGTATTCCGAAGCAGCTGGCTGCTAGGTTACACCTGTTTAAACACAATGGCCTGTAGCCTGGATAGCCATGACTCATCCCAACACTTGTGAAATATTTGGAACGCAATAGTATTCATTTTGGGACAGCTAATCCTGAGGCCAAACCCAGAAATTAAAATGTGCTGATCCCATTAAAAGTTAAAGAAAGGCACTGTAGAGGAGTTACAGAAGTGGGGAATTACACTTTTCATTTTATTATTATTTTATTAAAAACTTGAATTCCACGTGTTCTGTTATTCCGTATTTGGACTAGTGTTCTATGAACAGGATCTTAATAATACAATCAGCACTACTCCTTATTTTCAATGGTAACAGGATCTCCAATGAATACGCACCATTTGTGTTGTGTTGAAAACAGTAACGGGCCGTCTCCACGGCAGTGTTAAAAAATCTTGAAACGCTTCTGCCCATTCACTTTGAATGGGGTGACGTCACTTTTTTTCGCTTTCGCCGAAATGCATTGTGGGCAGGCGAGCGGAGATTCTCAGGATTTTCAAGATCCAAAGTTGAACAATGTTCAACTTTTGAGGCTGAGGTGGAAGCGTCAGCCAATCAAATCCCGTGTACGCAAATCTGACAGTTCAAGCTCTAGCCAATCAAACGGCGTGTATGCTGGGAGAGAAATACCGCAGGTCATTTCCTCATATTCCAAAAAATGGAGGAGAAATTAGCGGTAGCGAATCAATCACCCGGTGCTTTATGACCAGACCTACCGGGATATAAACCGGAGGAGCCAGGCATGGAGGGAGGTGGCAGAGACAGTGGTAGGTTTTCGCCTGTTTTGGGGAGTTTATATCCAGTTTACTTCGGGCTTTTTTGCTTCGTATGTCGCGGGCGGGAGATTCATGTGATTGGTTGCTCGCAAAAAATCCTCAAGCTTCAGATACGCCCACCTCCAAGATTTTTTTAACGCTGCCGTGGAGACGGCCCGTGACAGTAATCAAGGACTACATATGTTTTCCACAAAACTTAAAGGGGCCCTTTTATGCTTTTGGGATTTTTCCCTTTCCTGTAGTGTGTTTTATAGGTTTTTGTGCATGTTAATGGTCTGCAAAGGCTAAAATCCCAAAGTTCCCCCAGAAAATAATGACATCACTATGTAACACTCGCTCTTCTATTGGCTAGCGCTCCAACACATTGTACGTGATAGGCTAAGAGCCGAGACAATCTCTAAGACCCCATTTACACGCAAACGCATATGAAACGCAAACGAACCGAATACGATATCAAAAAAGCATTCCGTTTACACAAGACCGCTCGGGAGCACTGGAGACGCTGTAGTACATATGCCGGGCCTGTAAGTGGCGCTGTACTCCCGCCACAAAATACACCAAAAGCAGCGAAGAAGACCCCTGAGCATGGTTGCCATGGTTGCCCTTCTGTTTATGCCCCCGCGGTGGGACATGTAATTCTCCATGTCCACTTGTTGCTGATGGTTGTGGTAGAGGAGCTGTAGATTTTGCACTAACATCTGTAGCATGGTCAGTAGCAGTAGCAGTAGCTACTGACAGTAGCTACTGACCATGCTACAGCAGTGAGCAGCAGAGGTGGGGAGAGGTGTGGCTATGACTTCATCGTTATCAGGAAATGATCGTATAGGGCGTAGACACGGAGCCGTTTTCCCCCCCAGAGCGTTCCGTTTGCAGATCTATCCACCTTGGGACCCGTTATCGTTTGCGGGGTCCGTTTCCGCGTCTCCGTTATGGCCTCGTGTGAACGAACGGGCTATACGAAAGAGAAAAGTAGCGGATACAACCGTTTGCGTTCTCGTGTAAACAGCACCTAAGAGGTGGACCAATCACAACAGATAAGCTAACCGGACAGAGGGTGAAAAGAGGTGCTGCAGCACAGGCAGTATGAGAAAAATAAAGAGGTTTTTGAACATTAAGGCATGGAGACATGTCACAGTAGAGACACAAAATACTAATATGAACCTGAAAACTAGCATGATACGTCCTCTTTTATCAATCATTATACGTACAGGGTTGCTTTGACTGTAAATGGAAAACTGACACGCTACTGTATGTTAGGCACCATCACAAAAGGGCCAAAAGAGCTAGTTAAATATTTTAAAGGTTTTTCGTGAATCTTCAACCAACCACAATTTCATACGGATCACTGGAAACAAGATTAAAAATTAGCAAATGTAAGTAAAAAAGCTATTTAATGTAGAATATGGCAACATCATATCTAGGCACCCACCCACTTCCATAACAGGATATAGGAGAAAAAAGGTTGAAATATGGATACAGATATTTATATAAAAAAGGTAACATCCTCTCTGCCCTAGTTCCTATG